GTAGTTAAGTAACAATGCTTTTATAATTTCCATTATCGCTGTTGAACAAATTTCAGAGAAAGGGGGATGTGATGTTATTTATTTAGGCTATATTGCCATCTATAGTTGGAAGTTATTAAAACGAGCAGTTGACTTCTTTGAATAAATATATTTTAGAATAATAGTAAAACGATTAATTTGATTTTTTTTCTTTCCAACTCCCAAAAACATAAAATACAGTAAGTTGTTACTCATTTAAATGGCGTACAGTATGTGCATGTTTATTTACACTGAGTAGGCCATCCAAACCGGTTAAATAATGTAAATTATTAATTAACTGAAATTATATACATTTTTTTTTATTAGAAACATTTCACATGCCCATAAAATATTGGAATGTGAATTCTTTTTCGAAACATCATCTAAACAGAATAAAATTCATTTTTCAATATAGTGTAGTTGTTACATCTTCATTACAAGTTCACAATTTAAAGAATAAAATAAAAATATATCGAGGAGTATCATATGAACACATATTGGAATTTATCAATGTGATTTCTCTGAATTTTGAACATTTTATCAAATAAAACAAAATAAAAAATATCCAATTTTCAAAAGAGAAGTTGTCTGAAAATATACCAAGGAGTACGATGAGAACATACTGGAACTAGAGCAGTCACTCCATAGAGTGGATACCTTCGCCCTGTGCATGAATACCAAACAATTGGCCTACGCAGGCTGTGTATGATGGCCAATCAATTATTTATTCCTCCCTGTGCATGAGTACTGAACAATAGTCAGGCCGGGTTTGATGGGTCCATTCCCTTATTTTCTTTTATGCTTGGGGTAAAAATTGAATTGCTGTGACCTTGACTTTGTCCTTTGACGCGTTCTTCCCAAAATTGAATGGTATTTTCTTTTAATATTACCGTATGTACCATTCTATTAATTTTTATAATTTATAGTTTTTTTTCATTGTTTTCTTACCTACAATATTGTCAAGCGCATAGAGACCTCATTTATTTGTGCTATATAAACCCATCTATTACTATTATTACTGTACTCCATTATCAAGATGGACAATTCCTCACAAGGATTATTCGGCAGAGACACTCACGCAAAACATTATCTACATTTAGAGGTCCTTTAGAAAAATAATGACAAGATAAATATAACATCCTCAATGATTGCCTCCTCAATTTCCCATAACATTCAACTATGCCTCGCCACCTTTTCACACTCATTTAACACCCTGCGGAGCACCGGTATATAATGCTAGTTAAAAATAATTCATATTTAGGTTAGTATTAACTATAAGTTTTATTAATACTTGAGAAAAATACTCTTAGTCTTACTTCCCATGCTCTTTGAAAGTTTGTTGATTTTGTCACTGCTGCCTTTGACAAACGACATCACATTATTGGTTTGTTTTTGGACTCCAAGGCTTTTAATTCAATCGATCACACAATTCTCTACTCGAAGCGTGATCATTTTATGAGGAAAATCCTTGGAGCGGTTCAAAAGTTATCTTTGTTCCAGAAAACAATTTTGCTTCAATTGGTAATATATGTAATGAGTCATTGGGACTCTGTGATATATATTTTGGTGTCCCTCAAAGATCTTTACTTGGACCGGTACATTTCAATCTCTTCATAAATGATTTTGCAATTTTTCTAAGCGCCTTTCTTTTATTTTATTTGCTGACTCTACTGTTTTTCACTCACAGCAATGTTACTACCCTTCTTTATACTCATAATAGTTTTTAAAATAATATAAGGATGCTTCTAATGATTGTAATTGAAATGCTTATTATTTTATATTGTAATTTATATTTATATTTATATTACATTTTTTTTGTGTTTTGCTGTTTTCTGATTCCACCACATCGGATGGAGACTCGTATTTTGATAGTAATTTATTTTACTTTTTGGTTATCTCGCCGGCCCTTGTGGGGAATCAGAGACCAACATTTATTGTTTTTTTGTTCTTTTCCTTTTATATTGTAATTGTTTTCGGCTAAATTAATGAAATGAAAAAAAAAAAAATAGTCACATTTTAATTATTTATCAACTTTCTTTTATGAGGATAGCTCTTACAGTGATGCTGACTCAAAGAGGCCCTCATAACAAATACAAAACATACAGTAAAACAAAACAAATACAGTAATACATGTAAAATATATAAAGCACAATTATAAAATAGATAAAGCACAATTATAAAATAGAGAGGATAAATGCAAATCACCTCACTTTAAACAAAACCCATTCTATGTTCTTTTAGTAAATCAAAGTGTTCATTGCCTTGTGATGTTTTTTTAAAAATGGTTTTATAGTTAACCGTGTGGTGACGACAAAATTCATGGGGTCACTATTGACCAAAATCTTTTACATTTCCAAAAGCATCTCACGTAATACAGGCATTATCACCAAACTCTGCTCCACGTTCCCAAGTCCACTTACAAAAATTCTGTACTCGGCAGCTTAGTTTTACCTTACATCCAGGGGCAGTAGAGTACTACAGTGTTATGTCACGATACCACGTGATACTACTCCGTTGCTATTGTTGCAAAATGCGTTCAACCCGACGCCATTTTCTCCACTGACAAACCATTGATCCCAATTTCTAATGTAATTATTAAGATGTTGTATCTTACTTTTTCTTTGTAAATTTTAATTGACGATTAGATGTGACTAATATAATGCGAGCTTTTGTATTTTAGTACATTTTGATGGTAAAATATTACTGTAGACTTTAAAATGCCTACAGTATACCAGAAAGCCTATGAAGTCATTCAGGCGTAATAAATGGTAACCTACGTCTGTTGTCAACAGAGAGCGCCACCTGGGGTCGTGACGACACGACTGCGGTACTCTATGCAGACAAGATTCACCTCAACAAATTCCACCTCTTTTAAAAAAGGCCAATTCGTTCTATTTCTGTAGTGCGATGGCACAACCACACAGCTAATTTTTTTTTTAACCTATTTGATAATGATTTAACTTGAATGTTTGCCGTTTTATGTTCCTCGTCAACCTGTTCTGTACCAAATACGTTAATGAAAGAGTTCACCAAAAACCACCAAGTCCATACTTACCATACCAGACAACCGTGTTATGTCACGATACCACGTGATACTACTCCGTTGCTATTGTTGCAAAATGCGTTCAACCCGACGCCATTTTCTCCACTGACAAACCATTGATCCCAATTTCTAATGTAATTATTAAGATGTTGTATCTTACTTTTTCTTTGTAAATTTTAATTGACGATTAGATGTGACTAATATAATGCGAGCTTTTGTATTTTAGTACATTTTGATGGTAAAATATTACTGTAGACTTTAAAATGCCTACAGTATACCAGAAAGCCTATGAAGTCATTCAGGCGTAATGAACGGTAACCTACGTCTGTTGTCAACAGAGAGCGCCACCTGGGGTCGTGACGACACGACTGCGGTACTCTATACAGACAAGATTCACCTCAACAAATTCCACCTCTTTTAAAAAAGGCCAATTCGTTCTATTTCTGTAGTGCGATGGCACAACCACACAGCTAATTTTTTTTTAAACCTATTTGATAATGATTTAACTTGAATGTTTGCCGTTTTATGTTCCTCGTCAACCTGTTCTGTACCAAATACGTTAATGAAAGAGTTCACCAAAAACCACCAAGTCCATACTTACCATACCAGACAACCGTCACAATTTCATCAAACTCACCCTTGAACCATCTCCCGGGCAAAATCAATCTTATTCTTTATATGGTCCTATTTCAAGGAATGACCCCCACCCTCCATACTGTAACACTAATATCAGCATTTTTATGTTGAAAAAAAAGAATTCATGCACTCAAAAAATTTTGCACACTAGTTAAGCAATGCGTTCTTATACTTTTCAAGCTTCTGGCTTCCCGTAACGCCATTTGTGTTGTATTTTCAACATCAATGTAAACTGCATGCTTTACACATCAGTGATTGAGGGTGTCCTACATTACTGTTTTTAGTATGGTTCCATGTAACTTTGAAGGAGGATAAAGTCCGACTGGAAAGAGTGGTAAATCATGCTTTCCGTACGATCAATCAGCAATCGAAAGTTTGTTTTTTTTTGTGTTTTTTTTGGTGATATTTAAGCTGTGAAATTTTGAACAGAACAGCCAAAAGAACAATGGTTGTACTATGAACTGCACATAGGGTTTTACTACTGAAGCAACCTCAGACTCTTGGTTTGTTGTTTGTCCTCGCCTCGTAGTGATGTGGAAGCCTGTCTCTACGATAGCCCATCATTATCATTATTGCTCATTAACGGTCTTCGTAAATGGCAGTTTGTCTTTTCCTAATGGTATTGTGCCTTTAGGCTACGGTCGCTGTTTAGAGGACAGCGTTAGACCTCCTCTAGTCATTATACAGTATAACAACTCTCTGTCCTGTAAGTCTGTTTCTATGATTAGATCACTCTATATTGGTTTAGTACAACCCCACCTCAAATTTCCAATTCAGGCATGGTCCCCATATTTTAAAAAAGATATTATTTTACCTAGTTTGTGTGGCAAGATTTATGAGGAAAGATTATGTACTTTTAAATTTGGAAGACAGGTGACTTAGAGGGGATATGATTGAAACATACACAATTTTGACAAATAAAGTAAATATTGATAGTGAATTATTTTTTAGTACGTCAGAATTTATGTGCCACTAGGGGTCATAAACACAAACTGAAAAAGAAATATGTTCGATTAAATTGCCAAAAGTATTTTTTTACTCAACAGTTTAAGAAGACAAGAGAGGCTACTAGTAGTAGAGGGCCACTACTGGCCTACTAGCATATTGCACCACTCATTTAAGTGGTGAGTTATAATGAAATACTTATGAAATGAAACCATACAGTAGAGTAGTACTACACTAGTAATAACCCCTTAACTTTCCAAGGCCTACACCAGGTACAGGTAGGCCTCGCCTAAATAATAGGACACCTAGGCCTAGCTTACTGCTAGTTAGTAGTACTACTGTAGGCGTACTAGGCCTATATGGCCTGCCATAGGCCTAGTAGTAGTTAGTAGTACTAGGGCCTAGGCCATACTTCTTTAGTACACAATAAATCCTGCTAGGCTACCTCATACATCACATTCAATCAAGTTTACTTTTCTCAGGATTGGTTAACACTAGCCCTACCAAATCGAATAACTTTGTGTTAAAATGTTTGTTTTTCCCCGATATATTCAATTTATATTGAAAAAAACCCGTAAAAACATACCTAAAGTTTGGACGACACTCCTTACTTTAGAATGATGACTCAAATCAAAGGAACTACACTCCGAGAATTGAGTGTCACCTTCTTTAACCCCATCAAAGTCACAAGGAACAGTCTACCATACTTTTAGGGGTGTTTGTCTTTACAAAAACCGTTTCTTGCAAAATAAATATATCACATTTATTTTCTAAAATTACCGTATCTAAATAAATAAAATTTTTAATAAAATAAAAGGAGATTTATATTACTTAACATTCCTAAATTCGTTATCAATGTTCAATATTACTTAGAAGTGACCTACTTAAATTAATGGTTCAGTATAGTATGACCGCAGCGGTTTTATTTCCGGTTGCCTACTTCTTTCATACTTCCGGTATAAACAATACAATGATGATGATGATGATGATGATGAGGTTGAAGAAGAATGGGAAAAGTGCTAGCCAGAGGTAGAAACGTCGATTAGTGATTTAGCCTAGGAGGTGTCATGTCGTACTAGCAATGGTGTTTCCAACTAAAACCGTCACTGTAAGTAATGGGTTACATTTAGTTAGATAAAACATGTTAATCATGACACATCATTATCATAGACCCAAGGCCTAGCTGGCCTTGGTGTAGGCCTAGGCGGACAATGCACCACCAGTCTCTCTACTTGATTCGGACTTCCTACTGTCTCGTACTACTGTACTACTACTTACCTAGTATTGAGGTATGGGGCAACACATACAATTCACACCTACAAATACTTTTACGCACTCAAGAAATATGTGTCAGATGTATTATTACATTTTCAGATCATAAAGCCCATTCTGCACCTTTATTTTATAATCTTCGAATTCTAGACATGTAAACTACATAAATTATTTACTTTAAATTTTATCTCTGATCTTTTTAACAATAGATTGCCACATACTTTAACAGACTACTTTAGTAACATTAACCATACCCATAGAACAAGACTTAACCGTGATTACAATTTAGTCATTCCCAACTGTAGAACCAATTTACTGTAGGTCAATTCAGAATCTCTTATACTGGTGCTAAATTGTGGAATTCCTTGCTATATTAATTGAAAGAGACCACAAAAAAGAACAAATTTTGTTTCAAAAATTAAAGACATTTTGTTTAATGAATATTAAGTATGATGCCTTTTACATTTTTTTAATACTATTAATTTATATTTTATCATATGTATTGTATTAATGTTTAATTTGAAAGGGACTCAAGCTTGATTAGCTTTGGCTATTTTTCTTGGCTCCTATTGCATACTATCGTACCTGTATTCTTTTTGTTCTTTTGTATGCAATAAAGAGAAATAATAATACTTGGCTGGTGGCAGACATTCGGGCCCAGGTTCCAAACCAATCTTCGACTTATAAGGCGCATTATACAAAAAGTCTCAATGCGAGCGCTCAGGAAATGAAAAGAAAAGAAATAACAGAAGAAAACAAAAAAAAAAAAGCAAGAAAAGAATAAAAGGTTCCAGACAATAGACCTTAACGGAGTGTTAGTCAAACTTAACAACAGACCAATTAGAACAGCGCTAGGAATATGTGTGCATCTCACAAACACACGTGTTGTCCCACAAACGCACGTGTTCGCGTATGTTTTAACACTGCCGTCTTAGCCCCTTAGCAACAATATCTAATGTCCAGGACGTAGCGGAAAGGTCCATTGGCCGTGACTAATGTGGACAGTCCGGTCCACCTTACCTTTAGTGATAATAGGAGGCAGAGAGTTTAATACTTGTGTCGGATGCCCCCTCTCATATTATAAATGTGTCGGTTGTATTATTAGTGTGCTTTGAAAGTACTAAGGCCTTCAAACATAAATCAGATGAAAGTGGTTTGTTAGCCTTGCTAAAATATCCATTTTGTAATGAGCAGACTGTGCCTGCAGCCTACTCTATTATATTATCATGCATAATTTACTTTTGTTACAATAATGCTGGCTGAAATGCTGGTGGTGCACACCACTGGTAGGCAAAAGATTTATCAAGTAAGGAAATCAGGATGCTGTTCTATTTTTTTTTTTTGTTGTGCCAAAAATATGAAAGTTACATGGATGAAATTCACATGTCATAGTAATATTAGGAATTGACGAAAAAAAAAAAACCCACTAAAACTAGGAAATTAAAATTTTTCTATTTTTATTCAATCATTAAAATCATTTTCGTTTTATCTCTTTGGATGTTGCCAGCACGTATGTACTCATTTCATCTGTATACCATGTATTGACCATGGTATACTATATACTGGATAATAAGGTGCAGTACAGTGTACCTTTGTATATTGTATATTGTGCATATTAGTGTACAGTACAATATACCATTGTATACAGTAGTATACACAGACATTTCTTAATTGCATGCTTCATGGATGATTCAGCAATAAGGATGTTGTAGGTGATACCAAACAATTGTTGCTGTATACCAGACATCTACTAAGATTGAATCATTGTTTGTTTATATTATTTCATCTGACTGCTAACATTGAATCTCATTGATACTATTTCATCTAGGTATTTGTAACGTCAATGTCAACTAATATTGAGTCTTTGTAAGTTGTTATTTTTACTTGGTAACTAATCATCACCTTGTTATGTTTAAATAAGAATCAGCAGTTTCTAAATTTACTGTTTAGCAAACTGCAGCTTGCATAGCAAGGTTTGAACTATAGGCTGTGTTCTCTGTTCCTTTCTACATGATGAATATAGGATTTAAATTGGAATTTGATTATGAAAACTATTCAGTTAATGTTCCATGTTGTTATCTCAGATTATTGTGTTTGGAAAAGTCAGAAGGTGATACACACACCGGAACACACACTCATACAGTAGGTGATACACACACTCATACATTACCCCAGGAAGCTCTTTGGCACAGTAACCAACCATGTGAGTATTTTTTTAAATTATAATTTGCTGTAATTAATTAAGTAATTTTTGTTTTAATATCCATAAGTGGGCAATAAACAATTCTTATGAAAGTATGAATCTTTTCTCATGACAAAAAAACAACTCCACTTCCTACTGTATGTGATTAAGTCCTTTATTCTGGAGTGGAGTTGAATAGCTTGGTGGTAAGATGTTTGTTTTCCCATCCCATGATCCTGGGTTCAATTCTTGTCATGGTAACATGATTTTTCTCACGACCAAAGCAACTCCACCCCCTAAGCCTCATAATGAGACAAACAGTAGTCTTATGTAGAGCATCTTGTGTACACGTATGTTTGTGTTGTGATGGGTTTGCCACTTTGAAGATTGATTAAGTTCACTGTTTGGCTTATCCTTGGTGCTAGTATCTAAAGTTGAATAAAAAAAAAAAAAATTTGTAAAGCAACGTTCAATCCTGTAATTGGCTAGTTGCTTGCTTGCTGTAAATGTGAGTGAAATAATAGGATGATGAATAAACAAATTTACTAAAGAACCTACTTTTATTTCAACTGCCCATGGGTGTAGAACATATTGATATATGATTGAGTTTGATTGAAACAATAAGATTTTTAATTAAAACTTTATTAAATTTAAAATTGTTCAAGGTTATTTTGGTCAACAAGTAAGCTATATAATGATTAGTTTCATTGAAAGTATGATAATTAACGTTCATAAATAGAGTGTACCTCATTAATCAAGGATTTGATGTTTTTTTTTCAGACTACAACATGACGGAAAGAAAAATAGATCATTCAGATCAGATGACAACCTTGCAACTCCACAAGTCAAAATATGCTAAACCAGTCAAGCCACATATTCCAGTGAAACCAAATTTCTTAAAAAAACAGCAGTTCAACAAAGCTAGCAACAAAAAATTAATGTTGATTACAAATGAAGATGGAAATGTCTCAGTAATCACACACAAAAATGCCCCTCCGGTTGCTCCCAAACCAAAGTCTACCTTCCATGTAAGAGTGCAGCATCATGGAAGAAAGCTTCAAGTTTGCCCCATAGGACATTTTGTCAAGATTCAAACACTTTATGATGACAAGAATTCCAAGGATGATTTAGAAAAGATAAGCTGCAAAATTGAATGGGAAGAGAAATCAGCAAACATCCCAACTCCAGCACCAAGAAATCAGACCGCTAAACAGCCAATTTCTGTAAACGCAAATAAATCAAGTACAGAAGTAAGAAAGAACTTTGAAAGAATTAAGTCAAATTTTGAAGTAGCTGACATGCATTCTAAACCAGAACCCCGTCCAAGAAGTGGTGTCAATGTCAAAATACAGCGTGTATTATTTGAAAAGATGCTGCGGTCAAAAAAAGAAGGACTAAAAATGGAGTGCAGTGTAAGTGATAATCCTATTCTGATTCATCAGAATCAGAACTCTGCATTATCTCAGGCTGGTGGAAAATTACCAAAGAATTTTCAACCACTATTAAACTCTAAATCATCATCCAAATCTATTTCGCAAAGACCGACTTCAAAACCATCATACAAAGCCCTTCCATCACAACTGAATATGAAAACATCTTTTAGAGACATTCCACTAGAACCAAATTCCAAACCATCACCCTCAGCTGTTGTATCACAACACAGAGACATTTCATCAGAATTGATTTCTAATGCTGATTCTTCAGAGCGGATTCCTAAACCATTGCCCAGACACATTCCACCCAAACCGAATTCCAAAGGTCACTCAGCAGTACTACTGTCAAAGATGATTCCGTCAAACTTGATTTCCAAATCAATGTCCAGTGACATTCCATCAGAATTTGAATCCAACCCCACCTCCAGTACTTGCAACCAAGATGCTGCAGTCTTCAGTGCTAAACATGACATTCCAAAGATCACAATCTCAGATGAATATACTGATGTATCAAATTGTGAACACCTAGCAGATAGTACTATAGAAAACGACGACAACAATTTTGATATGAAAAATGAAAATAATGTCATTAAAGTGTGCATGGATGTCAGTACAGAAACTTGCTTGGATACCGAACCAGAAGCTTGCACAGATGGCGAACAAGGAACATGCACAGATACCAATCCAAAAACATGCATGGATGTTGAATCAGAATCTAACACAAATTCCAGGGCAGAAACAACCGATTTTGAATCAGAAATTTATGCATATGTCAAACCAGAATCAGATAGTAATGAAATTCAACATGAAATATCTGATAAGGATATTGATGAGCATGAGTATGTTAATTATAACATTGATGGTGAAGGAACCCATGAGTATGTCAATGTTGGTGATTTTTGTGATACGGTTTCTGGTGAATACATCATTCTTGAAAATGATTTACAAACTGCAGCCAATGACCAATCTACTGTCTCAGAAGGTGCTCTGTCATCAGATTCCACTGAAGGATCATATGATCACACTTATGTCAACTATGAGCTTCCATCAGATGATTACAGTGACATTCAAGTTGATGATTCTGGCAGCATGCATCCAGTTATACCAGATGACAATGATAGCACTGAGGACAAACTTGGTGATTCAGCAATGAAATCTGAATGTTATGGTAATAATTTATAGAGTACATCTGTTCTGGTTCATGTTTGAAATTCTTTTGTAAAATGATTGCTGTCCTCTATAGTTGAAAATACATTCTGTAATTTCTAGCTAATTGTAAAATCATAATCTATTGGCAAAAGGTAGTTTCCTTTTTTAATCTATATATATATTTTTGATTTCAGTGTATTCATCTAGTCAGTATTACAGTAACAGGAAATTTGAGAATGGAAGCTAGTTTCATGTGTTTTTGTCTAATAGTAAATTTATAAATTTAAGATTGGAAGTTAGTTTCATTGTGCTATGTCTTCTGATGATTAATTTATCATTTAATGCCCATTTTTAAATATATAGTCCCTGTATTGAGTTTAACAAAATTTAAAATAAAATTTAATATTTTAAATGCTTACCTTGTAATTTACATACTTTATTAACTTTTCAAACAAAAATTAGACAGACAAAAAATTTCATGACAACTAATCGACACATCCAGTTTCTTTAATGTTTTTAATAATCCTGGAATAAGTTGGCAATTTAAGGATTTTTACAATGTCTAAATCTCTGAAAACATAATTATTCCGATTTATTTAAATAATTATTTACTTTTTGTTTCAGAAGTGGTTTTGAATGTTTCAAGTCTTAAAGGTCATGCATCTAAGTGAGTAAATATTCATTTTAAAAGTACATATGATTATACATCTGAAGTGATCAAAAATTGTATTATGTTACACTCTAATACCCCATAGTAATAATAATAATAAAAACTTTATTTAACTACGGAAAACATTGTTCACCACAATGGTGTTTTTCAACAAGGCCGTAAAGGCATTGTACAACTCGACCAAAACAGAAATTGAAAAAAAAGGTAAAAATATACTTATTAAGAAAGAAAATCACATTAGGGCCTACTGAAAGAAACTTAACTACACTAAACTGAATTATCGTAAATAAACTTTTCATTAACTATAATACTTTTAATTGATTTTTATTTTCATTTTAAAATTGGAAATTGTATTTGAGTGTTGAAATACCAGTAATTACAGTATTTGGGTCCCAGTCTGCCTCTGCATATCCTAGTGTAACAGACTAAAGGCCTGTTTATACTTCAACGATAACGATAAAAAAGCTAAAAAGCAATTGTTCACATAGAAAATAAAAGAAATAAGAGAAGTTTGTACACTAGAACGGTTTGATAATGATTTATCAGTTATGCGATAACAACGTATTTTAACAAATCAAATCAGATGACGTCATAATCATGGAAAAACATTAAAATCGTAGTAATCGTAGTAGCAACGATTTTATCATTTTTTCATGATTATAACGTGATCTGATATGATTTTTAAAAATATTTTGTAATCGTATACACGATAAATCGAATCTTCCTAGTGTACAAACTTCTCATATTTCTTTTGTTTTCTATATGAACAATCGCTTTTTAGCTTTTTTATCGTTATTGTTATCGTTGAAGTATAAACAAGCCTTTAGAATATTTTTTTTTTAATTCTAAGATCCTGTGGCATCATTTCTAACTACAGATATTTATTTATTTATTCTTTCTTTTAACTGTAGGCACTTTCAGTACTTATTACACTGATTTTCAAAGTGGTACACTTGAATTGTATTGTACAGATAGAATTGTATTGTACAATCAATAAATGGCCAGAAAATATTTCACTTACGTATCACGTATCAGTAGTATTGTAAGGATGTTTAGTTTATAAGGGAGATGATTGTAGTGATGTACACGGAAGTGTGTCACAAAGTGATGGTTGATGATTGAAAAAGTGTCAGTGCGTCTGTAGTGGCCTTAAATTATTAAGACTCTGATTTCAGAAGGAAGTTTTCAAGCGATGAACAGGAAGAATAACCTTCCCTTTAGGATATTTGACATTTTTACTTTGGCTTGTATAATATCGTTGACTTTAATTTTGTAGCAACTTGTTGATGATTTTAATCAGAAATTGAATCATTAAAGGGAGATAATTCTATTTCTGGGTATTCATGTGATGCATCATCTGACACAGAAATAGAATTATGAATAATAGACATTCTAATATTGTCTACATTATGTAATTTCTTGTCCTCTTCATTGATACCAATGTTTCATGAACTACTATGATCTTTATATGTGGTAGGAATGAGCTCATCAATCTGGATGTAACTTGACTCATCAAGTGTTGATCCAAACATCCGTAAAATAGTGGATAATAGAATTTTAAACTTGCACTCATTGATTCGCCCATGTTTGTAATAATTGGTTGTTGTTGTAAATTATTTGTGTGGAATCGCTTGGTGCTTGCTTTTAAATTCCATTGTCCTTGGCAGTTGTGGCATTGGGTGGGGGGGGGCCTTAAATGTTTGTGTTATCCAACCCCCATCTGTTTTGAAAGCTGGAGGGGACAGGCGTGAGAATATTTGAGGGCATAATGCTGCTAGACGGCCAGAAATGACACTCTTATAGTAAAATTCTTCATCATGTACTCTGGCTGTACAGTGCTCTTTTGTTAGAACTTTATTTATGCAGTTCATTTTGATAATTTTTAGGCGTTTTCTTGACTTATGAAATTAAATTTTAATCGAAAAGTTAAAAATATGAGGGGGGACGTGTCCCTTTCCTCCATGATCTGCGCCCATGGCCTATTGTCCTATGTACTACCTTTAAGCATAATTTATTCAAAAACAACTCAAAATGACATAAAATGCCTCATAGTAGAATCCCTATCTGTGTTTGGGGGGGGGGGGGGGGGGGAGAGCCTGTTAGGATTTAGGCTTACCTTAGATATTGTACAGGTAGGGTTCCAGAGCCTTTAATCAATTTCAGCCTCATAATCAGTGACAAGTATACACAGCAGGACTCTATACTAGAAGATCCTCGATTATAATATAGTAATAACAACTTTATTTTAAAATGGAAACAAATCGTGTATTCCATAATGGTGTTTTCCACAAGGCAGTTTTTAAAAAAAGGGTACAAATAATATGGATGACTTCAATACAAATATAACAGATAGAGTATATTAAAGAGAGAAAAGTAAAATTCAAAATTATAAAGGCTAAAAAGTAATGTCATGACAATGTAGAAAATTTTTTTGTTTGTTATTTAAAATATATGGGGGTGGGGGTGCGTACATAAACATCACACATTCCTGAATATGGGAGATGTGACCAGAGAATTTTATTTGTGTGTTTTTTTATTTATTTTTATTTATGCTGAAGTTTCAAAGTAACCTTCAAGCATAGAAACACAAAAAATATAAAGGGCAACTTATTTTCACTGTGAAATGAATGAAACTACAAACTAACAGACTAATGATAATGAGAACATTTTTATTTATTTATTTTATATAGCAACTTTCTTTTTGGATATAGAAAACTAGGAACTATTCATTCTGTGTAGGTTGGGTAATTATAGAGCTTGCACTTTACAGTTAATGCGTTACCTCCAAATACTACTCACTCCAATTAACATTTCCTCTTTGTTCAATTAATTAATTAATGATATCCTCCTTTTAATGACAACCCTTTCTAAAAAGTGGAACTTTCCATCCCCCTGTATGAACTGCTGGTTTGTGAGATAAGCTGTTGCTGCTCAGAGGTACGGAGTATGGTACGACTTAGAACAGCTTTTAAGTAAGTAGCTAATAAGAAATTAAATTCAGGGACAGTTTAGGCTTTTGAACTAGTGTGTTAGCCAGGTAGAGATGTGTATACTCAGGGACATTTTAGACTCATTCTTGAACTAGTATGTTTGCCAGGTACTGTTGAGAAACTTAAGAAAATATGAGGATGATTTTTTTTATAATTTTATTCATGTGACTGGATTGATTAGATTTAGAATACATATTTACTTATGATGATAATAGTGATGATATATACTATACAAAAGTTTAAAAGCTGATGGAAAATATAAATTTCTGATCAGTCTCATATACTGTAGTCCTGTTGGTGGTTAGTTCATGAGGTTTCTGGATATCACAAAATTTAAAGTTGTAAATATATGTCTGTGTTTTTACTTAGGAAATTTTTTTGTCATATTTATGTGTCTGAAAATGATAATCAACTTTTAGAAAAAAATCATTTGTTAAAGGTCACAAAGTAAGATTCACATCTAATAGAGTATGTAATTTCAAGGACAGTAATATGTCTTAATAAATAAGAATCATAATATCATTAGTCATAAATTTAATTCAGAATATTTTCAACAAAAGTCCTAAGTTTATTATTATTATCAAAACAAAATGAAAATAACTTCTATTTTCCTTAAAAGTGCAGGAAATAATGTAACACTTGCATTATCAATGTCAGTGATACAGACTCACAAATGGATTCCTGCATATTTTATTCATTTATTAGTGAACTTTGAACTTGCATCAGTGGCAGTTTCAAAGAAATAATTAATGGATTCCTGCTTATTATCAGTGGCTGTCTTCAGTTTTTATCCCTTTCCTATCAGGAAAACGTTACTCTTAAAAGTTGAAAGTAAACTTATAATTACTATTCATGCTTCTATTTCTTAGTCTAAACCTAATTCCTCCTTGACTGAAAAACCTGAGATGGATTTTGATAAATCATAATTGTGTTGTATTTTATTAGTTTTACTTTGTTGTATAAATCTTTCTTTTTATTTGATATATACTTTAGTTCTTGAGGATATTAATAATGATTGAAATTTATATATATATATATTTCTTTAATAAATAGTCTAATGTTAGACTGAAAATTAATAAATTTACGTCCGCTTATAAATATATTCATTTATCAAAGATTCCTGTTTATACGGTTTCATTTTTAGATAAATCTTTCTTTTTATTTGATATACTTTAGTTCTTGAGGATATTAATAATGATTGAAATTTATATATATATATATTTCTTTAATAAATAGTCTAATGTTAGACTGAAAATTAATAAATTTACGTCCACTTATCAATATATTCATTTATCAAAGATTCCTGTTTATACGGTTTCATTTTTAGATAAATCTTTCTTTTTATTTGATATATACTTTAGTTCTTGAGGATATTAATAATGATTGAAATTTATATATATATTTCTTTAATAAATAGTCTAATGTTAGACTGAAAATTAATAAATTTACGTCCACTTATCAATATATTCATTTATCAAAGATTCTTGTTTATACGGTTTCATTTTTAGTGTCAACTGAATTCAGAAGAGAACAATTGAGTAACTCTGTCCTTTTGACATCTAAAATGTCCGACAGCTTAGCCCCCCAGAAAATTAGATCCTAGAGCTGCCACTGACAGTAACATACAGTGGCAGATGATCAAGATAACATAAAACAAACCCGAAAAAAATAATACAAGCCATTGTGATTATTATTAACTTTATTAGTTCATTTTTATGAATGGTCATGCATTTATCAGGTTTGGTTAACTTTAAATTGAAACTAATCCTATGTATACAATTTTCATGATTTTCAAAAGTGTGTTTTACTTAAACATTGATCATCAATGCTATTTTTAATAGGTACCGCAGGTTCTCCTGCCGACAGCCAGGTAGGTGTCGAAGGAGTAATTTCAAGAAACAGTCTGCTTTGAAGGTCATTGACGTCGATGAAGAGGCCAACAATGTCAATGATGTGGACATCAAGCTAGATGAGGGTTCAGACTTCGCATCATCACAAGAAGATTTGAAGGAACTTGAAGGACACAGTATTTTTGTTGAAAAACTTAAATCTGAGGTAAGCATTTAAAAATGCTTTATTGTTTGAATTTATATTTACTTATTATTTATATATTACAAATGTCCAAAAGGTAACCATGGGCTGAGTAGCCAACAAAAAAGTAGGAACCTTTTGACATAAAATAAAATTCAATATAAGATATGTAAAATGTGTACACGATGATTATAATTTATAAACATAAAAAATAAAAAATCATCAAAAAGAAAAAAAATAAAAAGTTATATTAATATTGTTTTAATATGATTAAGAAGAATCAAGAATCAAGAAGCAAACCAGTTGATTCTTGAAATACCAATTTACTCAAGACAAAACGTTATATGAGACAGAAGACATTCCTACTGCAATCACTGTTGTCTTGGGCAGCAAAACAGACAGGAAAATTTCCCAATATACTATATCCTTGTACACTTACTAACTGTACATTGAGGCAGTAAAAGTAGCTTGTACGATTATACAAACAATGACCTCAAAGGTTTAAAAAAAAATGTTGATGTGATCAGTAAGTTTTAATTAAAACGTTCTATGAGACAAAAGACATTCCTACTGCAATCACTGTTGTCTTTTACATGAGTGAATTCCAGATTGATGTGTGACTGCTTGATTGCACCACCATTGAGTTATCAAAATAAGGGCAGCAAAACAGACAGGAAACTTTCCCATATACTATATCCTTGTACACTGTACACTGAGGCAGTAAAAGTAGCCTGTACGATTATATCGGCAATGACCTCAAAGGTTTAAAAAAAATGTTGATGTGATCAATAAGTTTTAATTAAACTTTTTAACTCATTTTCAGGATGCAGTAACTGAGTACACTAAGGAACATTTTCAGGATGATGAAGAGGATGAAGGATGGCAGAGTGTTGACTCATCTGACTTTGACCATGATGAAGATACAAACATTAGAAAAAGATCCTTCCAGCATGTATTGTCCATCACCCCAGAACCGGGTGAGTCTGGGGTATCATCTGGTAACCCAAGTCCCAGTAGATTGTCATCATCCACATCAGATTCTCAGGTCGTGAGAGTCAATAGCTGTCTGTCATTTGTTTCTTCTGATGGATTTGAAGATGGTTCTGTTAGATCTTCAATTTCACAGTTCTCTCTCTCAGATGAGTTGGAAGGAATAAACACTTGTGATTCTTTTGAAGAAGATGAGTTCACAGACAAGGAAAATGAACTTCTAGAGATAATGAAGCGAGAGAGCACTCTCTCTGATGGTGTACAGGATGTGGAGGACTTAAAAAATGATACCATGGAACATATAAAAAAAATGCGCAAAAAATTGGCAGAAATGAAACGAAATGTTGCTCTTAAAAACCGACAGCGTGTTTCTTTAGTGTCTGAGTATGACATTGATTTACCTGAAAACTGCAAGCCATTAGAAGTATGCAATAACAGCAACACACTTGGTTTAGATGCTAATCTAATAAGTGATAATAATATTACTGAACCATCCGGTAGTGGGGAAAACATTATCAAACATAAACTAAAGGAGATTAGTTGGCAAGAAGACTTAACTCATACTTTCAACAATAAGAGAACCAATTTCAGCAAAGTAAAGAACAATGGCACTCACAGCATGAAAAGCAATGAAGATGATAACAGAGCTGATGTACAAGGTAATTTAAGCAATTTCAAGTTGCAAAGTTTGTTAGGAAATTCTGTTTTAAAGTCTTACAATTGTAATAATCAAATTAGAGTAGGGACATTTAATAATCATATAGATTATTCAAAAGCAGTAAAAAAGAATGTACCTCGCCAGAGCACAACTTCTGACTCATCAGGCAATTATGATCACATCAAAGTAGGCAGGGATTTGAGTATTGATTCATGTAGCAATGAAAGAATTTCTGGTGATTACGATCACATTCGTGTGAGACGGGAAGATACATCAAGTAAAAATAGAAGGTTTAGGAATAGTAAGGCACGCACTTCAAGGGGAATCTCGATGGATTATGAACACCTTGATGTGTGGACTAAGCTGAGTCTAGACGAACAAGCTGAGTTTCTGAAGCGTTACAGCGAAATGTCAACTGAATCATCACATGATTATGAAGATGTCTACGATTCTCACAGACATATTCCATCTGAAGAACTTGCTTTGTACATACAAAAAAATACTCTTAGTAATTTTACAAAGATTAATATGGAAACATTGCCAACAGAATGTGGTGAAGCAATCTCTTCACAAGATAGTGGAGTGATGTACTCAAAAAGACATCTTCAAGTTGACACTGATGAAGGTAACTGTGATTATGAATACATCTCAGGTGATGAAGGTCTATGTGAGCCACTAAACTTGTCCCGACGAGATTCCCAAGGAAGCAACAAGGCACCTGCACTTCCACCGCCTTTAGTTTTACCAAGGAAGAATGGTAGGGATGTGAAGTGTGTCAAGTCCAAAAGGAGCATAAGAAGAAAGCCATCAAGGAGACTTTATGGAAGGAGAAGAGGAGCTGGAGTAGATGATATTGGACTACAGACATTTCGTAAACGTAGTCAGCATGTAACAAAAGTTGACCGCTCTTTGGCAGCACAGAAATGTCGGCATATCCGGAGGTATAATCATGCAACAGGAAATATTTGCTGTGAAGAACATTGCAAAAACTGGAATTTACCGGAACCAGTTTCTGAAAGTGACTCAGAGTCAAAGTATATTTCTATTATTTACATGGATGATGAGGAATCTGAAGATGAAGATGATGGCAAACCAATTCCTGTGATTCCAGTTACGTATGAGTCATCGAGGTGTATTGTAATCAGGCGACCAAGATCAGGCAGTGTTTCCAAAAGCCATCCTAATTTACCTGTTGAAAATATTGGGAATGCGTTGCGGCAACGGTCTTTCTCAGAGGGAACTATGAGAAGAGGCATCCGAAGAAAACATAACAATGATCTTTATTCTTTGGAGAGCACCACAAAGGAATCTAAGAAAGTGCAATATGATGGTGCAAAATTAAGGAGAGACAAGTTTGCATTGGGAAGATATGCAGCAAGGAATCAAGAAGGTTAGACATATTTTTTTCATTTGCATGATTTTGCAAGTGGAGCTACTATGATTTAAATTTTTGAACATTTCCGTAACACTTGGAGATTAACATTTAATCAATACTGCATCTCGTTTGACGAACAAAATTTATAATCCTCTTGATAGTTTCCATTCTTTTGAATTTGGTCTGCATCCCTTTCTCAAATACATAATGTTTACTACAGTAAGTTCACCTTAACGCACTTTAGTATAACTTGATGCCAAATTCCCTACCAAGTTGTGGATACCTGTGTTCACCCATTCTGCCTTTTTTGTCGTGATTATTTTATGGTAGGTAAATCGTATTGATGTCATTGTAACATTGTGGCATTTTTTAGTCATCTTGACCAATTATAATTAGTGTTCGTTTGTTTGTTTGTTTATTATTTATTGCCCTCATCATTATAACATCAAAACAAAAAAATCAAGTACATAAATACACAAAAATGAGAGCAAGAGGATAACCCTATAAGCTCTATGAGCTTGTTTCCATATGGGTCCTCGACCAATAAAAATAGAAGCAACATAAAAAAAAAAAAAAAAAAAAAATTATGTTTTTATTAAATGTTTTTTAAGTAAATATTTAAATGTATTATGGTTTTCAATTTCCTTTAAACAATTTTGCAATTCATTCCATTTTTTTATTCCATTATAGTAAAACGTCTTATCTACTTGATGAGAATTTTTTGGAAACAAAATTTTTTGTTACACCTAGTGTTCTATAATTATGATTAAATAAAATGAAATTTACATCAAGATATAATGGCGTTAAGTGACTCATATATTCGGTTCCGCATCTTCACGTATCGGGATACTGAAAAAAATTATAGTTTTTAGTGTGGGTTTATCAAGGTTTTCTACTTTAAAATTGTGCTCTACCATTGTAAAACATATGGGAAATGGGCATAAGCAGTTAAAGGTACCAAACTTTAAATTCAATTTTCCTGTGTACTAGTATTTAAAATACTGTCTGTTAGTCTCATAGTGGGACATAGTGCAAGCAAGTTACCTTGTCTATTTCATCAAAATGTGCCATTTACTGGTGGATCAAGGACTTTTAACTGTTACCAGGATCGGAAGCTGGCTGGTTGAAACCGTCTAACTTGAATTAGCCTTATGTGCGGTATTGTTGAGCCAGATAAGCACAATGAGCCAGATAAGCACAATCTGCGCATGCTCAGAAAAAACTAAACTTTCCTTAGCCACACCATGGTAACACTGCGTATTGGCTAGGCGTACAGCTAGGCCTAGCTGAGAATTACGGTACGGTAAAACAAAGCAAAATAAGGGTACTAATTTCACTTGGCATGAAAATCAATCATACTTACACACTTAAAAACAAACTAGTCTACCAATAAAATCACCTGGAAGTTAAGATATAAGGCAAGTATGTCTACAAATTTGAGTTTAAATTGATGTGATTAGGCTAGCCTAGACCCGGCCTAGGCCATGTCTAACCGCTTATAAAAATGCAGAAAAAAGACCCAAAACAAATTGGAATGAAGTTATCAACTAACTCGTGCATTAAAATTATTCATATACTTACTACTTACCTATATAAAATTAAAATGTATTGCTCACAAACTCCAATATTTGGATTTTAATACGCCTTTTCCACGAATCGGTAGACATCTTGAAGTGATGACAAACAGCCTAAGTCAGTGGTGCGTAACAAACAAAAATAACATAAGCTAGGCCTAGCTGCTGTACGCCTAGCCGATACGAAGGGAAAGTTCGCTAAGGAAAGTTTTGTTTTTCTGAGCATGTGCAGATTGTGCTTATCTGGCTCATTTGCATAACAATAACGCACATAAGGCTAATTCAAGTTAGCCCCTCTCCCACTAGGGGTTTTTTTCAGCATACGAGTTACAAGAGAATGCCGAGTTGCTAACTCGACAAAAACTCGTAGGCAGGGGTGGCGCCAGGACCTGCCCGATGGGGGGGGGGGGGCTAATGGCCCCCTGGAAGCCACGGATATTTGATGAATTATGGCGAATTTTTATTACTTATTTGATAGGCATCGAGTTGCTATAATATGACTTCATTGCTTTTTAATGTTGACATCAGCTTCCAAAACATTTTGAATAAAGCAAGAAACAAAGAGTATGCAATGTAACCATCTAATTTATTTTCAAATCCTCATTCTTGAAAGTGAAATTCTATATTTTGGAAATTTTGCATGAAATCTGTCAACCACGTTGTGGCTATAGCCCCCCAGCCCCCCTCTGGCGCCACCCCTGCTCGTAGGACGATTCGGAAAGCTCGGAGAGGACTCTTACCTACTCGTAGCAGCTCTGAACTCGACGTGGCGCTAATTTTGAACATGTTCAAAATTATCGCCACGAGTAGATAACTCGTAGTAAACTCGAAGAACTCGTAGGTAGCTCGTGGAGTACTCGGGGTACTCCTACCTAGCTCATACACTACTCTGGATACTCGTCGGCGGTTTTGTCATCTACGAGTTTGATGCGAGCACCCAAAAACGAGTACGAGTAAGTACGAGCGCACCGAGTTGGCTCGTACCTAACTCGTATCTAATTCGGTACAAACTCGGTACAAACTTGTTACGCTCTTAGCCCCTCTCCCACTAGGGGGTTTTTCAGCATACGAGTTACAAGAGAATGCCGAGTTGCTAACTCGGCAAATTTGGCAAAAACTCGTAGGACGATTCGGAATGCTCGGAGTGCACTCTTACCTACTCGTAGCAGCTCTGAACTTGTGGCGCTAATTTTAAACATGTTCAAAATTATCGCCACGAGTAGATAACTCGTAGTAAACTCTCGAAGAACTCGTAGGTAGCTCGTAGAGTACTCGGGGTACTCCTACCTAGCTCATACACTACTCTGGATACTCGTTGGCGGTTTTGTCATCTACGAGTTTGATGCGAGCACCCAAGAATGAGTACAAATAAGTACGAGCGCACCGAGTTGGCTCGTACCCAAGTCGTATATCTAATTCGGTACAAACTTGTTACGCTCTTAATAATCTCGTAGTTAACTCAGTGCTCTGCTCTGCATAATTTGTACATAACTCGTAACCAACTCCATAAAGTCGTACCTCACTCGTAGCTAACACGTAATAAGCTCGTATAGGTCCTTTCCAAAGATCACAAGTTTTAACTCGTAGAAATCGTACGACTCTTAGGCAAAATAAAACTAGGTGGGAGAGGGGCTCATATAATCTCGTAGTTAACTCGGTGCTCTGCTCGGCATAACTCGTACATAACTCGTAACCAACTCCATAAAGTCGTACCTTACTCGTAGCTAACACGTAATATAAGCTCGTATAGGTCCTTTCCAAATATCACGAGTTTTAACTCGTAGAAATCGTACGACTCTTAGGTTAAATAAACCTAGGTGGGAGAGGGGCTTAGACGGCTTAAACCAGCCAGCTTCCTATCCTGGTAATAGTTAAAAGTCCTTGGGTGGATGAAAAAGAATTTTAACAAATAAAATAATGACAAAAGCAGGAATGAATGTTAATTGGAACTTCCTATATAACTTTAGTTTTAAAATATTACTAAAAATACATGAGAATGTCCAAGATTAACATTGAAATGTCATTCTTCATTATTCTTTAAATCAGAAACTGATTAATAGTATTGTATTAAATTTCTGAAGTATTAGTGACAAGAAAGGCCAGAAGTATTTTGTTCGATTGTTTAAAGTATTGAATTAATTAGTGTCTGACAATTATTTCCTTTAAAATGCAGGCAAAATCACATAAGCAATCTAATGATTTATTAGTTAATTATTTTTGCATGTTAATTGCAAGTCTCTTGTTCATCTTTCTTTTTGTAGCTTAACAATCCCTTGGTAAGTAATACTGTATGGTATAACTGAATTTCATTTCATTGTTTTAGTCAGCTGCATCTCCCTCCATCTGTAGTTTTGCATGATGTGTTCAGGGGCCCCAATTTGGAAGAAATCCTTTCCTGAGATCTGGTTATTAAATGAGCTTTTCTTAACATACAGTATTTAATTTTATTTTGCTTCGCATGGTGATACCCACCACCACTGACTTCAATGAGACAATTGCTATAAAGTAGTAGAAACATGCAAATATTATGAATTTATTTGCAGGAGATGAGTTATTTTCAGGGAGATCCTTGCATGCTTGCAGGAGTGCAAGAGGACATCCCCGCTGTATGATTGCTAATCATACCTTTGTTTTTATATTATCTGGCATTACAGACAGCCACGGATATTTGATGAATTATGGCGAATTTTTATTACTTATTTGATAGGCATCGAGTTGCTATAATATGACTTCATGTAGGCTATGCTTTCTAATGTTGACACCAGCTTCCAAAACCATGTCTCTTATACACGAATAAAGCAAGAAACAAAGAGTATGCAATGTAACCATCTAATTTATTTTCAAATCCTCATTCTTGAAAGTGAAATTCTATATTTTGGAAATTTTGCATGAAATCTGTCAACCACGTTGTCTTGGTCGAGGTTGCTTCACCTATCACGATGTATTCCAACCATCATGAGGCTATTTAAATGAGCATTTGTCATAACAGAACGCAAATTATTTTTAATTAGTCTCATTGAAAATCTCATTTAAATCATTAACGCACGTATTGAACCTCTCAATTAAATGTGAACAGTATCCCTCTGATTGGAAACATGCATTTGTCACACCGATTCACAAAGGAGGAGACAAATGCAATACTAGCAATTATAGGCCCATTTCAATACTTTCAATTATTTCAAAGATTTTAGAAAGATGGGTGCACTCGGCTGTTTATTCATTCCTTAATGGAAATAATCTTATTCCTCGCTGCCAATCGGGGTTTAGACCATTGCATTCAACTGAAACAACATTGCATGACTTAACGAATGAATGTCTTCATGCTATGGAGCGTGGTGAAATGACTGGTACTGTTTTTATTGATCTCAGTAAAGCATTTGACTCTGTAGACCATACAATTCTCCTAGATAAACTTAGGCATATGCATATGTCTGCTTCTGTCATTATGTGGTTTACATCTTACCTAAGCAATCGAAGTCAATCTGTTAATATTGGTGGGAAATTATCAAAACCTTTGCCATTAAACACTGGCGTACCACAAGGATCGATTTTGGGACCACTGCTTTTTATTATTTATTCCAGTGATCTGTCACCTTGTATCCCTCTAAA